TGAACACAATCCACCGTGCCATACGCCGTTGCCAGCTGAAACTCTACAGTGCAAAGAGGAAGCCATTTCTAAGCAAGCTCCACAAGCTCAGACGTTTGCACTGGGCCAGGGGTCATTTAAAATGGAGTGTGGCAAAATGGAAGACTGTTCTGTGGTCAGATGAGTCACGATTTGAAGTTCTTTATGGAACACTGGGACGCCATGTCATCCGGACCAGAGAGGACAAGGATAGCCCAAGTTGTTATCAACGCTCCGTTCAGAAGCCTGCATCACTGATGGTATGGGGTTGCATGAGCGCTTGTGGCATGGGCAGCTTGCATGTCTGGAAAGGCACCATTAATGCAGAGAACTATGTTCAGGTTCTAGAACAACATATGCTCCCATCTAGACGTCATCTCTTTCAGGGAAGACCCTGCATTTTTCAACACGATAATGCCAGACCACATTCTGCAGCAATCACAACATCATGGCTACGTAGGAGAAGGATCCGGGTACTGAAATGGCCAGCCTGCAGTCCAGATCTTTCACCTATAGAGAACATTTGGTGCATCATAAAGAGGAAGGTGCCACAAAGAAGGCCCAAGACGATTGAACAGTTAGAGGCCTGTATTAGACATGAATGGGAGAGCATTCCTATTTCTAAACTGGAGAAACTGGTCTCCTCTGTCCCCAGACGTCTGTTGAGTGTTGGAAGAAGAAGGGGGGATGCCACACAGTGGGAAAAATGGACTTGTCCCAACTTTTTTGGGATTTGTTGACGCCATGAAATTTGGAAACAACAGATTTTTCCCTTAAAATGATACATTCTCTCAGTTTAAACTTTTGATCTGTGATTTGTGTTCTATTCTGAATAAAATATTAGATGTTGGCACCTCCACATCATTGTATTCAGTTTTTATTCACTATTTGTTTAGTGTCCCAACTTTTTTGGAATCCGGTTTGTAGTTGTAGCTAAATCTGTGCTCAGAGTAAAATTACACAACAGTAGCTGAAAGCAGCTAACGATAAGCTAAAGCTAACATGAGTTAAAACTTTAAATGTGTTTTTGGATCAGGAATCGTTTTGAAGTGGCGACTCCGATTTTAAATCCATGAAGATTTTGTTAAACTCAGGATTTGTTTTCTTTTAGCTTCGCAAAAAAAAAAACATATAAATGCTTCAAAATAAAAGCACAAACTCAAAGGTTGAAATAAACAGACAGTTTTGTTTTTTTGAGCTGCAGATGAAATAATCCTGAAAATAACGATCAGTTCCTGATTTCATCTAAAACACAAAGAAAGACAAAAATATATATATTTCATAACATCAGAAAACAAAAGTTTGGTTTCTCTTCAGCTCCACAGATTAAACTTCCTCAGATAAAAACACAAACGAGTCAAGAATAAAACTATAAGGACGAGTTTTACCGCTGCTCTGTTTGACCTCTGGACCCTCAGAGGTCAAAGGTGACCTGCGTGTTGCTTCAAGAAGATTTTAAATAAGATTTAATTTGAATAATCAAAACTTAGTTGATTCAGTCTGTAGATCAACTACAGCCCCAAATCCCAAATGAGTTGAAAAGGAGGTGCCGTGGATGCAGAGAAGGAACAGAGAAGAGGGAGAAAGAGAGAAGAATGAAGTTCAAACCATCTCTTCCATCAATCATGATGGGCAATGTGAGATCGCTGGGAAACAAGTTGAAAGAACTTCAAGCCCTAACATGGACCCATCCAGAGTATCAGGAATGCAGTGTTATGTGTTTCACTGAGACATGGCTGCAGGATCATATCCCCAACTCCAGCGTTTCATTGCCAGGCTTCCTGACCATACGAGCAGATAGAGATTTAAAGAGGGGTGGCAAAAGGAAAGGTGGTGGGTTGGCAGTGCTTGTGAACAACAGATGGTGTAATCCTGGACATGTTACTG